TTTTATAGAACTACTTACTACTAGGATGACTATTAGGACACATTACATTCTGCAACAAATGCTTTCCACACAGCTATTTGACTTTTGCGACAGAAGTAACACCCATATATGCTTTTAATACGTGTGAACAATAACATTCACATGCGAGAGCAATAAAAGTTATGTAAAATTCTTAATGACTGTGTCTAACACCACTATCTTTTATAGGATAATAAGATTAAAAGTATAGGATCAACTTCGGAACTTAATCAGCTGCACAATAATACATATTTTAATAATAATAATATTGTAATTAAGGTATGTTAATACTACTGCATGATCGAATATTTTATCGACAATGGGCGAATATTTTTCAATTAGAGATAGCATCTTGCATGCATTCGAAAAATGTTTTTAAATTATCATATATAAATATATATATATATATATATATATTTGTGGTATCCAGAACTTCAAATTAACAAGTTACTAACATCGAAACATTAATCTAAAACCGATAACAAACACATTTTAACCTTCAAGCTTCTCGTATTTCCTTTCGCACTGCTTTCAATCTATAACGTGATACAGAATACATAATTAAACATTTTTGACAAATTAATACATTCGAAAAGTACACTATCTTAATGACGATATATAAACAAAGCTTGAAATACAATACGAACATTTACTATGCATACAAGTGAATATCTCAACAAAATAAAATTTTAAACTAGAACAGCTGAGAAATATAAAAATCTGTGGTCTACTTCTCAAAAGAAGACATCTCAGAAAAACTTAGAGTCATAATAGCGACTTATTACGACTATAAGGATATATATTTCAGACGACTTTAAAAAAAAATAGATGATAATACACAAAAACTATTTCTAAAATTATTAAATATTATTATACCTTTTACGTGTACGTCATGTAACATTGAACAACTAACAAAATATTAATTTCATACAAAAGAATTGAATTTAACAGCGAAACTATGCAAACCACATATTTATTAGTTAATATAGAAAATGTTAACTAGTTACAAAAACATTTCAAAAAAGGGGAGATCTAAGAAAGTGTCCGAAATATTACAATCACTAAACATTTTAACAAGGTAACATTACAAAGTTGTAATCGCAACTATACTGTGTTACAAGTAAACATTTTAAAAGCTAGTGGCTGCGAACATTTCTCTTGATGTAAACTCAAACAGGACAGCTACTGAAATCGCATAAGTTTGAGACGCGCAACATAAGTTGCTTACATAAATATATATCTATGTACTTATAGCAAAATGATCAAGAAGGTGAAGAGAAAAAAGTAGGAGACGAAGAGCCGTCGAATACAGATTATACTATTACTAACGAACCCATCAGTGATACAAGAGACACTACCGCATATAGCGATAGCGAAGTCACTGAAACTGATCAAGATCAGAATAATATGGGGGAAAACATGAACTCTAACACACAAATTACAGGACAGGTATCACAAAGACTTTCACATGCGTTCTAGGACCTTTTCTAGAATTATTAGGATAAAAATGTTTGAATAATTTTCGCCTAGCAGTTGTTTTGTTTTCTGAAACACTTACAGAGTGTCCAAAAAATGGAGAAATCTTCACGCAAACGTGTGCATCTCACCCCTTTGATACAGTATTGATTGTAAATGTTTTTTGGACATTCAAAATTTTGGTAACTGTACTTATGTTTTCAATGTATTCAGTTTGCTTCTAAAGCAATGCTTCTTAATCTTTTTTTAGAAGTAGTTGCTTCATTGGAACGAAATTTTACTATGCATGAGAAGTATGATAACTGTAAATTATTTAACGATACGCATGTTATAATTCTGTTGCGAACAGCAATAAAAGTTATAGCGATGTAAGCATTTTATTAAATTTTTATCATATTTTCGACATTGCATATTATTTTTTATTATACGAACGCTAATTCTTCGAAATTAATCGTTTTGTGTACAATGCTAGAAACATACTTGCTGGAAGAGATGCAAAGTATTTCTGAGCCTAATTAATTTACAATTATTTCTCATCCTGCACTGTAAATTGATATTTCTTCCAGCAGGCATAATTAATTTCGTAAATTAATGGTATTTTCTGCACGTTAATGGCTGTTCGGTCGCATTATGCTTTACGATAGCCTTCTACTTCAAAATGGTTGAACGCTAGAGGCTTCTTAAATTTAGAACAATTCTAATAAAGATACAGAGTACTTAAAATTATTGCAGCTCCGACATACAAGGTAATATTAAATGAAACTTTTTGTTCCAGGAAATCAAGAACCTTTCGAAAAAATATTCACACGACTACCCAATCATCTTTAACATTGTTTTGTGGTTTGGTGTCGTTTTTGTTTTCTCGCTTCTCGCCATTTGCAGTACGTATCAATTACGATATAAGAATTGTATATATTGTTATGTTTTTCAACGTTTTCTTTTTGTTATAGTTACTATTGCCGAGATGGATCCAGGTCGTGACTCTATAATATACAGAATGACTTCCAACCGCATGAAGAAAGATAATTAAATGTATAAATATTAGCCAATGATGTTCAAATTAAAATAATTTGTTTATATATCAGCTGTACTTAAAGCCATTGGTTTGACTTCATCAACACACATAATACTACGGCAATAAATACAGCTATTGTAATATATATGCATGGTAGTCGTTTCGCATACGATGTAAATGATCCATCGAGTATTCCTTTATTGTACATTTCCTAGAACTGTTAAGTAACCGTATTGAATCCGTATTGTATAACAATGTATAAACCTGGTCACTATAGTTTAAGTATAATGTAAGTGGTTACATATTCATAGTAATAAACAAGAACAAGTTGTATATCTGCGAGATAACACCTTGGAAACACATAATCTTTGAATCCTTGATATTGATTGCAAGTAATTATGATTACAAAAATACATAAATACTAGGATTCCATGTTTTTGTTATTAATCGTGTGCTTCCTCGACTTTTGTGTTAGGTGCGAGCATATAAAACACAGACTTTATAGAATTTCGATTTTTTAAACAGGTAGGTAGAATTTTTACAAATATAATGTAGTTTTTAAGTCATTGGTATTTGACTCATTACAAGCAAATATTGATCATTTACAAATATTCAATTTTTAACTTCTGTCTCATATTACATTTTAAATATTCTGTTTTTTGTACATTGATTCTGAGAGAAAAATGAAGACATTAAATTGAAGAAGCGGTTATACTGTTTGCAGGTAAATTATCAAGGATATTTAATACAGGGACGTAAAAAATTCCGGTAAAACTAACATTTAAGGAAACCAGACCCGATGACCTTGACCTTCACGCATCGTGTCAAGATCTCAAGGACTCTGAACGTTAGTTTTATTATAATTCCGACAAAAGTTTTGTCTTTATTATATTCTCTATAATTATTTTCTCAAAGTCGATAGTTTTAGTAATCTATATATGTATACAGATATGTATGTAAAAACAGAACTGATCATAAGTCGTCGTACATTTACATTAGTTGAATACAAACAAATTTTAATAAATAATTGTTTGTTCTAAAAGTGTGTTATCGCTATTTACATTAATATAATTGCACCTACTCTATAACCAAATTTACCTGGTAAGATATTCGAATTGTTTGCGCATGCGCACTGGATGTACAGAATTCTGGAACTACGTTCAGGATGCACGTTCGATCTGAAGACAGGGTTTTAACATGTAGGGTAGTTTCATTTCAAAAGAATCTCATTTTACGTCTCTCGAGAAATGGATTTATGGTAAATTTCTATAAAAAGTAGAGCGCCAAAATCATCGGACAATTTATGCTACCTATAGTTTTTGAATAGCGTGAAATGATTTTGAATGAAAAGATGAACGACTGCACAGACAACTTTGTGTGAACAGGTGTCTCGGACGTGGCGGGAAGCAATTAAACGAGTGTCTCATTTGACAACGTCCGCTTTTAACTTTGCTGACCCCTATCCTGTGTCAAGTAGACGTTCTTAGCGTTGTTTGCGACAGACAGTCTCTCAAGTTACGTGTCCGTAAACATTAGTCACCGAATTAACGTATAATAACTCAAAACCGTTTCCGTTTGCGTCATCAGCTTCTTCACAGTTAGGCTAAGATTCTAGATTATGCAGGATGTTATTGTCGCTTGTGGAATGCGCCGGGTTCTTTTTTTCAAGCTGTGTCCACCTCGCGCGAGGCAAACCGTTTTGATAATTTTGACTAACAGTACAGTCATGAACAAAAAGAAATACGACGCGCGCAGTTCGTTGTATAAAAATACAAAAATATATAGTACAATTGAGAGCTGTCCTCTTTCTAGCAAAAGAAAAAAATGTTTAATTATTTGAAACATGATAACGAAAAGAAGCGACAACATGAGTTACATATTAGCGCCATCTGCCGATTCTTTAAACATTTTATTCAAGTTGTTTCATTTCTTGCAATATTGACAAGTAATTTTTGTGTTCGGCTCTTAACAAGGTATGACGATTTCGACCCGTAATAAAAAGTCAAAATATATATACATAACAACATATACGAAAATATGTACAAATAATTTCTACACTGATTTTAGGGGGTGAAAGGCAGAGGAGCTGCAACCACGTATTTTAAGCAAAATGTAGACGTAGAAACCAACGCTGATCCAATATTGATAGAGAATGATTAACGAAGTCATGATAAATTAAGAAACAAAGCTCCTCCAGTAATACTCTTTCTAATGGCTCTAACGAGAAACGCAAACGAAAGATCGATCACCAATTCTGATGAGGAGCTGCAGTCGCACATTGCAAACAAAATTTAGTCACCATATGTGCCAGGACTGCTTCAGCATGGATACAGGAGAATTAAGCAAATCATGATGAACTAACAAACTTGAAAAAAAAGATCAATCTAACTGCTCCATTAGTATTCCCTCTAAAGACTCTACTAACGAGAAACATCACCAAAAAATCAATAACTCAATAGGAGTTACAATCATGCATTCCGAACGAAATGTGGTCATCATACGTGTCAAGATTTATCTGTAACATCTCATGTGTGATCCAGAATTGGTAGTGGAGGACTAATCAGATCATGATATATTAACAAACCAAACAAAATTTTCAATTTAACTACTCCATTGATATTATTACCAATGAAGAACATCGCTAAAAAGTCAATCACCGATTTTGAAATTAAGTTGGAACACATAACTAAACAAATTGAAATCATCGTACGCTTCAAGACATCTAACCGTGACAGAGGAAGATGAATGAAGTCATGATGGCTACTGTAAGTCCACAAATAATCATTTTAACGGACTCTAGAACAAGCCGATACAAAGAAGTAATATATAACAAATGTTTGTTCTATGTCCACCGGATAAATCCAAGAAAAATTCCCGGATATCTATCGGGAATATACTTTGCAAAGATCCTAAGCGATCTTTGTCCGACGGTGCCAAGTCCAGCGGACATTTATCGGAGGGTTGGAAGATCGGATCCTCGGTTAGGATAGATAGCTCTCTTTTTGCGGCGAGCCTACAAACTCCGGGTTCCAGCAAGAAGAGAAAGAACGGAGATTACTATGCTTCTTTGCTCCGCCTTCGTCGTCCCCACCCGAGCATAGACCTCGGCCGACAACACCTGTCGTTACGGCAGAGAACGACCGCGCTTTCTGTCAGTCTACACACAATCTTGCCTGACGTGCACGGCGATAGTTTACCTGCGCCTTCGCAAACCGCGGAACAGTGACGCTCGAGCTGCCATAATCTCGGCCACGCCACCTATAAACAACGGCGGGTTCGCCGAGGCAACACGGAAATCGTTTCCCCGGAAGGATCGCTGGTGCAGAGAGCTCGGCCGATTTCGAATCGGCTCGATGGTCGAACCGATTTCGAGCTCGAGGATCCCTGCGGCTGCGGTTCCGCGCAGTTCGTCTGGTGTGCGCGTAGTGACGCGCGGTGTCGTCGTCGTCGTCGTCGTCGTCGGCACGTGGTGAAGCGTTATCACGTAAAAAGGACTTATCGGCCGCGCGGCCGAACTGCCGCCTTTTTCTTTTCCCGTTCTGATGGGCCGACAATTGAAACGGCGCGAATAAAGAAGCCGATGTTGTTCGCCGAACGATTTATCCGTGAGTCGACCACCTACGCTGTTCGAATCGCGCGCCTGGGTCGGGTCTGACCCGGAGTTCGACTGTAATTACAGCGACGGACTTTCAGGGGCTGCGTCAACGTCAAAGACGACGCGGAGAAATTGGCCGAGAGTGCTCGGGCTGATTGGAAACATTAATTGTTCGATTTATAGCGATGAGATTGTTGCTGTTCGAAACGCACTTCAGAGATATGACAGACACAAGATTGCTAATCTAGGGACGGACTGCATGAATCAGATTCGAAAACCGAACGATCGACGTTTCAAGCGTCCCTGAACAGTGCAACGCTCGAAACCCTCGGTTTTCCTTGTTGCACGAGGAAAATTTGAGGGTGAGTCACAAGGAGGATCGTTTCTCGCGCATTTTCCCGCCAAAATGGCGACCGAGACGATCGGGTAGGCCGCCTCATCGGCGAAAAACCAGGAAAGCTGGTCGAACAAATGAAAACACCTGTGATCGTAAATCGAGGATCATTCTGTTCTCCAGTTAGTCACCAATTAATCGTCGCGACCGCCATCTTTGCTGGCCTCCGGGCCGCCTTTTACTCCAGATCTCGTTACCAGCGATACTAATCGGCTAAGATCATTGTCTGCCATCGAATCTGCCCCCCCCCCCCTCCCGAGGAGGTCCCCAACACCTTTCGCGATCCGGTCGCGGTGTCTTCGGCAACTCTGCTACCTGTTCTAGCTGTCCGGGTAGCGGCTCTCGGCGTTCTTTTACGTAATGTCTCGTGACGACCAGGTTTCTCAAGGTTGCCGCGCGCAGGAAACGTTCCTGCGAACGATACCGGCTCGCCGGACTGGCTAAACCGCGATTAATTAGCGAGGGATCGATTAAGAGCTGCTTTTTCGCCGATTCGCTTGGCAATTTCGAACGAATTTCCGCCGTTCGCGGTCGTGTTTTCTTTGATAGCGGCCAGTCGACGTCCGTTGTCTCGTTGCTGGCGAACAGTTTCGGGTCGGATGGAGCTTGTCAGTGGCCTCCGGCTGATCTAGGACTCATACGATTAGGCTGAACAGACGTTGCACGAGTTCGGGACACGATTTCGGACGGTTTCTCCGTGTTTGGCGAGGTTCGAGGGTTTCGCGACCGACTCTTGTTGCAGGAGCAAGCAAATTTATGATGCAGAGGGCTGCGTGGTTTCATTGGCAACCAGTTTCTGAATTGTCTCAGAGTTATGCGCAACGATTGCGTCGTGTTAGGTGAAAAAGTGTAACAACTGTATTCAAGCGGTACTTGAGTTGGGATTTTTGACTTCGAGGACTTTCGCTTATTGTAAATATTCGCAATGATTATGCGAATATTATAGACTCTCGCGAACGCACAGTGATATATTTTTAAGCAATATCATAAACATTTAAAGAATCGCCACGGTTTTCGATAGTCGTTATGTTCCCGCGCGAACAAATTTGTCCCGCGTCTGAAACGGCGCGTTGAAACGGCCAAAAAATCGTCGAAAGAATCGGAAAAAAAGGATGCCCCGAAAACCGTCGAGTTTCCGTTTCTCGCAAACAACCGCTACTCGGATCGGTATTAATGGCCATGATTCCGCGGTTCGAGCTCCGAGACGTTTGAAAAAGTGGGTGGAGCTATGTTGTGCAACAGCGAGTAACTGAATAAGTCGCGTGAACAGGTCTGGTCTGGTAATCAGAAGGAAATTATGGAATCCGGAGTGCAGAGGACTCCGCGGCCCTATTTGTTCAACGCGAAACGCTGTTATTGTACGTTCACGGCCCGTGATTGGGAGGACGGTGTCAACTGTAGCGAGCGCAGTCCTTTCTGACCGGCGCTCATCTTCGGCGATCGGAGGACTTAATGAGATTCGCTGGTGCCCAGCGTGCGGCGTGGGAACGTTTTCGTATACGTAATTCGATGATTCAGTGCATCGGATCAATAAGGACAGTTTGATGCTGTTTTCTCGAACGCAGACGAGGAAAAGACCGGAGCCGCGATCGTGATCGTGATTATTATCGAAGGTTGGAGGTGGAGGACAACGATGAGTGTCAGGGTCGTCGTGAGCGTGACGGAAATCGCAGACATGAGTCCGAAAGATCGGTACCTGGTTGAGGAGATCGGTGAGTGGCAGTTTTTCGATCCTTTACACTATATGTTCATTGCTTTTTATCCATGTCTTGTGTTTAATGGGGTGTTTTTTCTAGGTCTTTTTTCATTGGTATCCAAAGATAGATCGTTTCAGGGCGTAGGATGATAATTCCTTCGTTTTGGAGTTTGGTAAATTAACGATTCGTTGGTGGAAATGGCTCAGTGTCAATTTTTTTTTAATAAACGATTTTCATCCCGGAGATCGATGTGTATCGCCATTTTGTTGATACAGTAAATTCTTCCTAATTGACGCTCAGCTTGGAAACAAAAATGGACAATTTGGGAAGTGGAGGTACGATTAAGCCTCACGGCTCGTTTTTACGTTGACAATTGCTAATTATAAAAATGAGCCGCCAAGAATTGTCCATTTTGTATACCAAGCTGAGCGTCAATTAGGGAGAATTTACTGGGCTTAGGTTTATGGAGAAAATCCAGCCCGCGCTACGTAATGACAGTGAGCATTAGGTTAAATGTGAAGTCTGTACTTCGTCTGACTTCTCTAGAATGAATTCTACAAGAAGTATTTAATTTCTTAACGATTTATTCTTATGTAAAACTTCGTTCAAAAGGCACCCCTAAAAATCGCCACTTTATCGACACTGTACGCTTGACAAAATTCTTGTTTGTACTACATAGTAGCAGAAAACACTGTGCAAAATGTGAATATTTTACTTCGACTCACTTCTTTAGATTTAATTCTACAATGTGCTCTTCATTGTTGAACGATGTACTCTTCAGAAAAACTTCGCTCATAAAAGACAATTTTTAAAATGTTGCATACAGCTATTTTGTTGACTCTCTGTATTTGAAAAAATTCTAGTTTATACTGTATAGTAGCAGGAAACACTGTGCGAAGTTTCTACTTCGTTTCACTTCTTCAGAATTAATTCTACAATGTGTACTTCATTGTCGAATGATGTACTCTTCGAAAAAAACTTCATTTATAAGAGACAATTTTTTAAATATTGCATACAGCCATTTTGTTGACTCTGTGTATTTGAAAAAATTCTAGTTTGTACAAGATAGTAGCAGGAAGCGCTGTGCAAAGTGCGAGGTTCTTATTTCGCCTCACTTATTTAGAATTAATTCTACAATGTGCACTTCATTTTGTCGTTTCGTTAATACTTTGACATCTGGGAAAAATCCTGTTTGTGCTACGCAATAGCAGTAAACATTGTGTAAAATGTGACATCTGTACTTTACTCATAGTTTTCCAAAATTAATTCCATAAAGCGTACTTCATTTTTTAACAAACGAAGTTTCTAACGCGAAACTTCATTCAGAAGCTATCTTAAAGAGGTCGTCAAGCACTGTAATTTCGTTATCGCTGTGTACTTGAAAAAATACCTGTTTGTGCTACACGACAAAATCAAGCACCGTGCGAAAGGAGAACTTCATGCACAGTCCTCCGAGTGAATCGAAACACCGGCTCTATTTTTCAGAAAGTTTCTCAACTTCGTGTTTCAATTTCGATTTTTGAGTTCGAACGCCCGCGCTCGTTTATTCTGCTCTAACGCAAAGTAGAAACTGCGTTATACAATAGTGATCGCGTTACCGATCAACCGCAACACGCAGACCGCCATGAAAAAAAAATGCCATCGACACGGATATCGCCATAATGCATTGCACCTTGTATCGGCAAGTTTTGAAAAATCCAGCGATATCCATGAATTTCTAGAATAGGAGAAAGTTAGAAAGCTGTCCTTGCACTTCAATTTTTCCGCTAACAATTCATCGATATCATCGCTAAAGCTTCATGGTGAATTTTATGGTGTCCTATGGTGTCGATCTTACGGTGTCCCTCGGTCGATCCTCTAGCATTTCGTATAAATTCTCTCGCAAAGAACTCGTTGCGATGAAGAAGTCGCAGCTTTGCCGAGGATTAGATTTAAGCCGAGAAGATTACGAAATAATAGTACCGAAGTAAAAATAATAAACAATTGCTTCACGATGCTTCTTCGGATCGGAATGTAAACGCGTAAAACCGCCGGGAACGCTGCAGTGTTTTCTATCGTTACGCCGCTTACAAAAGTGTTTGTTGTAAACGTACAGAAGCCGCGGTCTATGTATAATTATCGACACGCATTACGCTGCAAGGTCGGCCGATGATAGTGATGATACCGATGGTTGTTGATCCCACGTAGTAATAAACTCACTCAACTGTGGTTTCCACAACAACAGTATCGGATGCTAACCTGCGGATTATCTGCGTTATTGTCGGACCATTAACTAGGTACGTACAGGTGAACACCGCGAACAATGTCGTAACAATGTACACAATTTTTCTGCAATTTGTTGCCGTAGAAACAACAGACTTTTCACAGGATACGATCACTTCGAAATTTGTACCTTTGGATACTCCGTTTTCTACCGAAAGACAAATTGAATTTTTGAATTTGTTCTTTCAGTTCGAAGTTCGAAAATTGAAAACACTGCTTGGACAATTGTTTTCCAAATCTTTGTACGATCTAGAGGATCATTGTGCTGAAATATTATTTTGCTATATTTTGGCAAAATTCAGATTTTATTGTTTTTATACTGATTAAATTGTTTGTACTGCTATTTCAGATATATTGACGGAAGATATAAACCTTCGTCGAGTCATTTTTGTACATTGTCTACAGAATTTGTTTTGCACATTCTCAAATTCTGCACGTTTATTTCTAGTACATTTCACATGATCAAGCAATAAAGCAGTCCTTTTTGTTTATGAAATCCGCGTGCCACAATATATGTGTAGTCCTCGCGTGACAAGAAAATAGCTTTGCATTTATGTTCCCCCTCTTACTAGCTGCCTCGCTGCTGCAGCTAGTAAGAGGGGGGATATGAACACAAAAGCGCCTTGTTGTCGCGCGAGGACTATACATACATATATTGCCTCGTGATTTGTGGGTAGAATAGGCCCATAAGCAATACACACTAATACTCACAGGATATATCAGAACATGAAATAACTATTTATATAAATATAAATATGCATTATAAACAATGTTGTACTAGTGCGTATTGTTTATTGTTCTATTCGACTCATATGATTAAATTGTTATTATTATATCTTAAACTATATTGTATACCTTGTACCAAACTATTATAAAACTATTCCAATAAACTTCGCATGATGAGGCATTTCACCAGCCATTTTTGTTTACATAAATCAGCTGCTTCAATTTTTATATTTATGATGCACTTTATATATTGGCGAAACAATTAGTTCGCATCTTAAAATAAAGCATTTCGTTCATTTCCAATAGACTTTGCAATGATCCATTATATCAGCAATTTTTGTTTACATAAATCAGCTGCTACAATTTTCACATTTGTGATGCAGTTGCTATTATTACCACCTAAACTCTGAAACATAATATAAAACTGCACCGAGTTATTTTATATAGTGTCCAAAAAAATTACCTTATAAAATCACCTTAAAATGGAAGACAACAGTCTTCTTCAATACTACTCCACCATAAGTCATCAAATCGGTCATTTTTGTTTACATAACTGAGATGTCACAATTTTTGTATATTTCTCTGTAATCGATAAACATGTTATCTCAATCTTGTTATCATAATACAAAACACTATCGAGATACTTAGTAGATAATTGACAAAATCATTTCACATTTTAAAATGGACGATAACATTCTTTGCGAGTACAGTCCATCGTAAAACATTAAATTAGCTATTTTCTTGTACAATAGAATTGTGGTGACACAATTTTTATATTACTCTCTGAGTGGGCACAATATAAAACTGTATCAAGTCACTTTACAGATCGTTTAAACAATCGTTTCATATTTGAAAATAGACGATAACATTATTTATCAGTACACTCCATTGTAAAACATTAAATCAGCCATTTCTTTTTTCTATATAATTGCGGTATCACGATTTTTTTATTGCCTTGTGATTCAATTGTCTCTTTAAAATCCTGGAACGTAATACAAAACTCTACCGAGTCACTTTATATGTACATTGCTTCAAGAATTATTTCACAATTTATAATTATTTTTCAATAGTTTTTATGGTGATACATTAAATCAGCTATTCTTATTTAATTGAAAAATCACAATATTTATACTGTTTTATTACTAAAGGGTTGCTACTTCCATTTGAAACTGAAAATCATAATACAAAAACTTCACTGAGTCACTTTATATATTGTTTAAGCAATCATTTCACGTTTGAAAATAGAAAAATTATAATTTTTATACTACTTTGTTGCTAAATGCTTGTTACTTCCACTTAAATCTCGAAATCATAATACAACAACTTCACCGAGTCAGTTTATACATTGTTTAAATAATCATTTCACATTAAAAAATACAAGATAACATTCTTTATCAGTACACTCTATCACAAAGCATTAAATCAGCCATTTCTTTTTTCTATATAATTGCGGTATCACGATTTTTGTATTGCCTTGTGATTCAATTGTCTGTTTAAAATCCTCTGGAACGTAATACAAAACTCTACCGAGTCATTTTACATGTACATTGCTTTAAGAATTATTTTACAACTTACAATTATTTTTCAATAGTTTTTATGGTGATACATTAAATCAGCTATTCTTATTTAATTGAAAAATCACAATATTTATACTGTTTTATTACTAAAGGGTTGCTACTTCCATTTGAAACTGAAAATCATAATACAAAAACTTCACTGAGTCACTTTATATATTGTTTAAGCAATCATTTCACGTTTGAAAATAGAAAAATTATCATTTTTATACTATTTTGTTGCTAAATGCTTGTTACTTCCACTTAAATCTCGAAATCATAATACAACAACTTCACCGAGTCAGTTTATACATTGTTTAAATAATCATTTCACATTAAAAAATACAAGATAACATTCTTTATCAGTACACTCTATCATAAAGCATTAAATCAGCCATTCTTTTCTATATAATTGTAGTATGAGATAAAACATAATAAAAAATTCTACTTGAATCACTTTATACATTACTACAA